GAGGTGCTGCTGCATTCACATGCAAAAATGCACATAAATAATGAAGTTTTCACGTATCACTCATATCTTTGATCGATACTTATCCACGTCCCCTTTTGGATCCCATAGATCACAGAAGTTTTCAGATATCGACACCTTCTTAAAGTAGCTGTGATGCGTTGAAGTTAACACCTAATGCTAGCCCAAAGATGAACGACAAGGTCGCGAAAATATTTTATCATAATTTGAAGTCATAAGTTTAACGGCCTAGCTGTTTCAAGGTCTAGCGTGTGATAACTTATTCAAAGCGAAAGGAATCTCAAATTTGATTTTGCTTCATTTTCGCCGTTCCTGTTACTGGTTTTATAGCGTGATCAACGTTGAGTTTTATTCCTTTCCCTGTGTCAACTCAGTGGCGTCATTTTGCTTTTATTTATGGCCTCATTACTGAATCGAACACTGCTTTCTCCAAGCGGTCATATTATAACTTGAGTATCACAGATTGTTCAAAACCCTCGTTATACAGAATGTATCAGGCTGAAAAAGACGCCAGACTCATGGAGGAGTTATTCGACATTCTTCCGTCTAAGAATGATTATGCTGAAGACATTAACAACTGTCGGTCAGTCGCTATTCTGTCATACGTCTACAGGGGTTTTAATTGGATCTTCTTCAACCGTTATAACGACTTGAAACTGCGCACTAGTATATCACAAGCTACATCCACGTCGTGAAGCAGTTAACAGAAAAATGCAAGAAATATCAATTCTTCCTTTGCTACGCATTCATCGTCTTCAGGAAAGCGTTCGGTTCCATCGAGCTGGGCGCTATACTGAACGCCTTGCACCACTGCGGTTTCAACAAGAGTGGGATAGGTGCAAGAGGCTACACACTGTATTGTCCACTAAGGCGTAGTGGTCATTTTGGATGCACGGAAACCTCTGACAAATGACATCATGACAAAGGTTCACCGCACACCCCATGCTCCGTGAGAAAAGGTGCAACAGATTTTGTGTGTGCAAGATTGAAGTTCAAGCGGCTATAATTCTTTCCTTGAGCTGGAATATTACTGCCCTTCACCTTCGTTAACTCAGTGTTCAGAAGGTCGTCTAATTTTACACCAAAGGGATTAGCATGTATGATTGACATTGCCAACCAGCAGATTATGAATTCGTTGAAAGCGTCGCAGCGGAGTGAGTTTGAAGCCTCTGCTTTTACAAAGCCACCTTTCCGTTATCACTAAGGTCGATTCCATGATATTTACCTCATGATCTTATTTAAAGGAATTTAAATGGTATTTTTTTCAAATGCTAATTCTACTTCAGGCGTCTGGCACAATATCAGCCTTATTATTCAGCGAATTGTGTGGCAGAATGATTCGCTTGCTGGACGAACGCTCCTTGCTGAAGAACCGACTTGACGTAGTCGAGATGCAGCAAAAGTTGAATCAACTTCATTCGCATGGTTTTCTTAACATGGAGCACAAACTAAAGGTAGTAAACTCCCAATTTATCACTTAAATTTACCTCATCACATGTGTCTATGTGCTTGTTTGTTCCATTTGTTACGGAAACCACACGCATATTGCGAACTGTTCCATAGAGGTCTGAAAATCAACGGGAAATGGTTAAGAACTCTTAAGAGCGCAGCGGCGGGCGATGGAAAGAATGAGGATAGCGATTCCTATCAGGAACAAGTTACGAAATGAAGAAGTAAGAACACGCACAGGAATGCAGGACGTTTAATCAGTTTCAAAGGAAAGAAAACGACATTGGTCAAATTGCTTCGAATAGCCAGCGGATGACATATGGTCTTTCGGACAGTGATGGATTAATTCCCAAGGAGTTGCAAGCATTCGGTTGGAAACCCTACCATTAGATGGAGCGAGGAGATGAAAATGAGATGTTGAATCTTATGGCAACAATTCACAGTAATCAGGCGACGAACGTGGGCTTCGAGATTAGGCAGTGGTGATCCCCGTTAGTCACGAAGAAGGGTCAGTTAATTTTTGTTGTTTATGGAGGTCATAATTTTGATCCATTTGCTCAAGCAAAATATCCGTTGTTCGTGATGTCGGTTGTCAGCCTTTGAACCTCCTGGTTTAGATGTGCCGGTTATTCCAAAGCAGAAGAAAATATTCTTCTCAGAAAATGAATTCGATTCTACCTTGCTTATCCCATGTGCATGCCGGCCAAATGGTTGGATGTCTCAAGTGCTTTGTACCCTCCCCCAAGAAGCTCATGGGATAGAGTAAATGGCATATGTTTATCCACTTTCTCTAACAGGTTCAACCTCCTATTCTTGATCTCCACATCTACTGAAATAAGGGGTGGCCAGAACAAAACAGACGCACCTTTCGTAATCCTACCATTTAGCCCTCGCTATGCGTCTTCATTCTTGCTCCTTCGTTAGAACGACTGCCTCCTGCAACATGCTTTGACCTGACAAAGGCAAGGTATAGACAGATTATGGTGAATGGAGCTACTAATGGTGCTAATAAGGTTCTCTCGCAGTTCATATATTGATACGATATGATCATACTTCATTTCTCGTGCAGGTTGAAGCGAGTTTAGAGTCGTCTTCTTTCCCAAAGTATTTTGCTGGTGTTCATGAATTCGAAGCATGTGACATCTTTCACCTGGATTTTTTATCTTAAAAAGATGAAAATGTTACGTTGTTAAAAGCGTTTTATGACTAATAATCACTCTAATAATCTAGTATCGTGCTATTCTGTATATTATTCCATACTGAACTCCTTGAAATAGATTTGAGAAAATTTTGTTATTAAAGTTTAAGTATGCCGAGAACACTGTGGCAAACAAAGTCGATCAGATAACCGTGTCAAGTGGGTAACAATCTTGACTTTTCTTTTCTTTCTTAAAGACATATATACATCCCTCATTGGCTAGTTACGAAAATGCTCATAATTTATGATGACTGTTTTTAGATTCAAGAATTAGAAGCAAAATGCAATGAACAAGAGCGTCAACTAAGACTGCTGCTATCGCAAGTTTCATCGGGTAAAGTCGATTTCAAAAGTAAACGTAGCTTTCAACTACTCTTATTGGAGCGCGAGTTTTACCCATGTCATATTCAGGCATACTTCACAGTCAGCAAGTTCAAATCAGACGGCTTACAGAGGAAAATATGGCCATAAAGTCGGTGGTGACCAATCGGTTTGTTAAGTCAGACGATGCCATCTTCACGGCGTTTCTCGAACAAAAGGATCTCATATGGTAGATCCATATCTTTTGCTGCTAATCTCCATTCATGGCCGTTATTTAGCGAGCTTAATAAGGAATTTGCTGAAAAAAGTAGCGAGTTAGAAAAGGCACTCCTACAGATCGAAATCCTGCGCCAAGAGACTCTTGATCATCACCCAAGAACGACTGATGACAAGGTAGCACCAGTCTTTTCTTGAATTTTATATTTATTTTTCTTTTTTTAAGAAACCAGCTTCCCCTGTCGAAGATACCAAAGTTCTCAACGTTCTTGTTCTACTCTCAGTCAAAAATCTGGTATGCTCATTGGTCAGGCTGTAATTAGTAATGATTCATTTCGACATGTCGCTTATTCACGCTATGACTGTCGCTACTCAAGCCATACAAAAATTAGAACTGCGCTATTGGAACTAATATCCTTCATCATAAGTACATTTTCCGCAGATATCAAGGCAAGATGCCTTAGTAACTTCTGAAATTGAATATATACCTTAGAGCCCATTCTGTCACTGTTGAGCTTTAAAAACGAGTTGTGGGATGCTTAGTAAGCAGATGCTTCGTATTTCCTTTAGCTTTAAAAACAATGGGCTTATGAAAATGATGAGTTCGTTCCTAGAACTTTAAATATTACTGTAGTAATTGTCATACATTGTTCATGTTGATGGTAACAAGAATTTAAAACTTTTGGCGATATTTTTGTGACAGACTTTTCAAGCCTTGGCTATCAAATACAACGTTATTAGTTTTCTAATTACTATGCTGATGTTGGTCGCTGGAACAATGAATTGGCTCGCTTTCTATAGCGTCGGCAATATCATGAAAGGAACTCTGCTAGCTCTCATTGGAAATAATATGGA